GCTAGCTAGCAATCAATGCATGATCCTAGCTATGTCAAAATTGTCTAATGCAGCACATGCAAAATGCGACTAAGATAGGCTCGGCTATTCTAGAATGGCATATGAAATGCAACAATTTTGGTACATGTATTCAAATAGGAATTGAAATACAATGCAGTTTGAATGATGCGCCGAGCTCGGTGCATGCAATACGAATGAATGATGCAAACATGCTAGCATAAGGATGCTAATCGAAACATGCCCTAAAACTAACCATCAAAAGCTGATAAGTAAAAGGAAGAAAGAAATGGGGTTGGAAGACATGCATCACACACACACGCGCTTATTACAACATTTGCCCTCTCGGCGGAGGGTCCAACTGAATTTAGCTAATTAGCTACACTAATTAAACTAATTATTACAAATCAACTAATTAACTAACTTAGCTAATTAATTATTACAAAACTTTAAATTTTAATCAAATTAATTAAATTACAAAACCAACTAAGTAAGAAACTAAAATAGGCTGCCACAGCTCTGTCTCGGAAGGATGAATGATGCATGCTCGGTCGCGTCCTCCTGGAAATCCACTATTGTGCCTCGTGATGTCTCTGTTTGCACTGTTTTAGACTTCTGAAAACTGTGCCAACCTCCAAGATACTTCTGATCCACCTTATGGACATGCTGAGAAGTGGTCGGCCAAGAGGAGTGGCCATCGGCCAGAGTTTATGGCTATCGGCCAATTTTGATAGCCGATCGGCAGACTAAGTGGTCGATCGGCCACTGCTTCCTGTGAATTCTCCTTTTGCTGCAACAAAGCACTAACAGAGGCATGGCAGTGTGTTTGCAAGAAAATGTGTGTGCAACCACACTCCTTATCATGTCTAAAGTTCAAAGGAGTGGTAGTGCCAGTCTCTTAAGCCATAATCACGCATCTCAAATGCATGATTGGCCAAAGAGGCAGAGTTGCACAAATCAATGACAATGAATGCACACAAATAACATATAGGACTCGATGGACCTCCACCTTATCATACATGATCAAAGGTGTCGGTGACCTAAGGAATGAGGCATGTTTCATCACTTCAAGTATGAAACGCCCCTCGTTCCTTGTGTTTGGATTGACGTTCAACCCAAACATAATGCAATGCAACAAACATGCAAACATAATGCAATCATGCAACATGCAAACAACATGAGCATGCAACAACATGCTAACAGCATGCAAATGTGACAACATGCAAACATAATGCGACATGCAACAACATGCAAACAATATAAGCATGGCAAGGGCTATGTAATGCAAAACTCAATGGACTTAAGCCGCCTATGGACAGACCTAAGAGGGTCCAAAACAGTGGCCAAAATACTCTGAAATGACGGCATGAAAAGCAAGATAATGCATGGTCATGCATTGGCCCATCAACTAAGCATAAGTGCATAACTCTCAAACACGATTAAGAAGTGACAAACATGGAAGTGTGTCAACACTATATGCTCTGAAATCATGTGTGAAATGATGTGAAATCATCTGAACAACATAAGCATAGCATGCTAGAAGGCCTAAGCCAGAAGGCTACCAAAAGGAACTATACAAGAGGCATGCAATACATGGCACAAATGATTGAATCAACCATGGACAGAGCTCAACTAGGTCAAAACAAAGACCAAAACATGATGAGATGGGAGCTCAAAAGCCTAGGCATGCATACAAGTTAGGCCATAAACGAGGCACAAAGGCATAACCCTTAAAAGCACTCAAAGAGTGAAAGAAGTGAGAACATGGCAATGCTATATGCTCTGAAATATCATGTTAAATGAAGCCAAATCATGCACATGGCTCAAATAAAGCATGCCAAGAGACTTGAAATACAAAGCTATTCAAGGGCTCTACACTACAACCATGCTAAGCAATGCTCAAATGACCTAAACCACTGAAAACAGACCTAAGGCAGGTCAAAATAGTAGCAAAAACATGCTAGACTCGTAGCATAGATGGCAAGAAAGATGTGTTCATGTATTAGCTCACAAACAAGGCATAAAGGCACAACTCTTAAACACAATTAAAGAGTGGTAAACATGGGAGTATGGAAAAGATATAAGCTCTGAAATTCCATACCAAATGATGCCAAAGCATGCAAACATCACAAGAATAGCATGGCAGGGGCCTCAAAACTCAAGACTAGTCAAGGCATTTGCACTATAGCTATACAAAACATGAGTCATATGGCCAAGGCAACCCAAAATAGTCCTAAAGCATGTCAAAATAATGCTAAAACTTGTATGGACTAGAGCTAACACATGCTAGCATGAAGGGCATGATGCATGGAATATGTAAGGCCAATAAGAAGGATTACACTACACCTACCAAAACCAAGCATGAGATGACTTCACTAACAAAAATTAGAGTTATGGCATGGCAAAACAAGACCAAAAACACACTGAAATGATAGTCCACAAGTTTAGGCAAGATGGCATACATAACGGCTCATGTTTAAGGCATAAAGCACCAACCCTGCAAAGCATTGAATGAGTGAAAGATGTGAGGGCATGACCACACTACATGCACTGAAATCACATATCAAATGATGCTAAATCATACAAATAGCCCAAGCAATGCATGCTAGTGACTTGGAAACTCAAAGCTAGTGAGCAAGAATGCACTATGGCTATACAAAGCAAGGCATGCATGACCAAAACAACATAAAATAGAGCTTAATCATGGTAAAACATGAGTAAAAGCTTCTTGGAGTTGAGCCAAAATCATGCTAGAACGATGGTCTAAAGCATGATGCATGTTAGGCTAGTGAGCGGAATTGCACTACAAGTGCAAGGAGCATGCAAGAAGCTATCAAACCAACCCAAAAAAGAGTTATACCACGGAAAAAAAACACCAAAAACATGCTGAGATAGAGCCAAAACATGCTAGAAAAGCATGCTACTTTGAAAAGCTTCAAGTAGGATTACACTACACATACAAGAAGCATGCAAGGGGTGACCAAGACAACCAAAAATAGAGTCATGGAAGGTCAAAAGGGTCACAAAAAAGTGCTCAAACAAAGCTTCAAGAAGATAGAGCTACATGCTCTTTTGATAAGCCATCAATACAAGCAAACAAGAGAAGAGGAGGGGGGGACAAGCCCCTCCTATTTAAGACCTCAAAACACACTTTCCACCACTAAAATTCCTCTGGAATTCAGTGGTGAAGAGGCCAAATAAAGGTGGCCAAATAAAGGTGATCACAAAGGCCTAAAGTCATGGCTCAAAAGCCTAGCAAATAAGGCATGCAAGGGAGTAGACCACCCCCAACACCAATGAAGCCTTAAACAAAGATGTTAAGCACTTAAAATCGGAACTTTTTTTGTAGTTGAGAGTTAAGCCAAGATAAGCATGCAAAGGGGGTCAAAGGCTTAATAAAAAAACAAGGCTTTAAGGGGTTAGAAACTCACCCTTGAAGAACAACTTCAAAGTTGCAACTCCAGCAACTTTTTTGGACCAAAAGTAATCCAAAAAACTCCAAAAACCAGCTTCAAGGTGCCTCAGCTCCAAAGCGAAGGTGTTTCCCTATGTGTTTGTGTGCAAAAGTGTGAAGAAATGGCACTTTCAAGCACAAATATGAAGAGAAAAGAGAAATATAGAGATAGATGATATATGTATAGCTCCAATCAATTTTTCTCAACCTGAGACAAGAGGGAGGAGGCTCCCTTTTATAGAAAAACATGCATCAAGCTTGTTGAGCAAGCTTGAAGCTTGAATCAATCCCTCCATACACGTGTATGGAGGATGCTTTCTGTGCCCAATAGCTGGCACAGCTGGCATGGAAAATATTTGCAGAAAGTGCAGGAAAGCTACCGACCAGTTGAAGTGGTCGGCCAGCTACTTGCACTGGTTGACCGACCAGTGAAAGTGGTCTACAAGAATGAAAAGTGGTCGGCAAGGGGGAGGAGTGGTCTGCATAAAGAAAGCAAGGTGGTGGCATGGCTACCGACCACTTTAGGTGGTCCACATACCACCAACATCAACTGGCCGACCAGAAAACTGGCTGGCAGGCACAAAAAGTGGTCTTCAGGGAGAGAAATTGGTCTACAACCCTTATTCCACCCTCCAAGCAAGGAAAACAAGGTTGTTTCCAAAAAAAAACCAAAAAGATGAAAGACAAAAGTCCATGGGACAAGGCGTGCAGCCGGAAGCCTCGAAAACTAGTCTATGAGCACAAAAAGTGGTCTACAAGGGAAAGGTGGTCTACGACCACAAAAAGTGGTCTACAGACCTCTATTTCCTTCTAGGCAAAGGGAACAAGGCATGGTCCGAAAACCAGGCCAAGAGGAGAACATTAAGCGGTCCCGAGACAAGGCGCTCGGCCGAAGGCTCCGAAAATCGAAAACTAGCCTACAAGAGGGAAAAGTAGTCTACAACTACAAAAAGTGGTCTACAGACCTCTCTCTCCCTCCAGGCAAGGTCAACAAGACGTGGTCCACAAACCGAGCCAAAACACAAAGAGTTCAGAGGCCCGGAGGCAAGGCACTTAGCCGTAAACTCTGGAAACTCGAAACGAGAACAAACATGAGCGATAATCGAGCGCTTAATCGATGACGTATAAGTCTAAGGTCGGTTAAAAATGGGGTGTCTACAGTGGGATGTCGGGGTCAGTGATGCCTTGTGTCTGGTGGATGAACCTCTCCCCTAGTTAGTAAGCTTAGCCAAAGGGGCGCTCGAACAAAATCCGCATGGTGGAGGCCTGCCATGCAGTGACATAGGTCATTCTCGATGCCTGGGGAATGCCAGCCTAAGGATGCCAGTCAACCTATGGAAGCGGACGTCAGATGTCAGAAGTCAGTGCAGTATGAAATGTCAATGTAGTATCGAAGCAACAGCATGAGAATGACCGTGTTGTATGGGAAATCTATATAATAAAACAGAACGGATTTTGAAAATGTGTTAGACACAACTATCCTACTAGGACAGTTCAAGGGTCAGGAGTCATTTGTGTATTTACATGGATGGCTCAGAAAACCTCCTTAATTTTATGCCTCCTCCTTACCCACGTCTCCCCACCCTTCTATCTTTATCTCTCTGATCTCCAGCCAAATCACGTCTCACCTCCATCCCTCTTTATCTCTCTCTCTCTCTCTCTCCCTGTTCTTCTTCTTCCCGAAACTGCTCTCCTTCAACCACAGATTTGGTTTCGTCTCCATCCCTATATTCAGTTCCGTCTAGCTGTGCTTCAACCGCTCAGGTATGGCAATCTCTATCACAACTGTTCTTCTCACCCTTTAGAATCAGAATCACAATAGTTCTGAATCTTTTTATTTTCATCATTTCAGATTTCTGAGGTTACGATTTCAGAGGTTGCGATTTCATCGCTCAGGTATGGCAATCTCTATCACAACTGTTATGTGAAATTGATAAACACTAAAGAGTCCAAATCTGACAAATCTTTTGGAAAATCGATTTTTGAATCAAAAATGCCAAAATTGGACTACTTTGCCAAATATAGAGTCGATACCTAAATATTTTATTTTGGGAGAAATTTAGAAAACCCATGACTCGTTCCAAAGGCCATGTGTCCGTTATCACCAAGTTTGCGTCGGTTTGGGAACTTAGGTACGAGAGGAGAAGGTCATGAATTGAGCACCCCCGCTCGCCCCATCAAAGATCGGCCTCTACTAATCATGATATGATTTTTATCAACATTATATGCTCTTGTTCCGGTTTATTTAGGCAAGCATTACTATGTGATATGCACAAGCAAGTATAGACTAGTTTGCTTGAATTGGAACAATGCAATTTTATGTTTGTTTTTCGAAAAGGGTTTGATTTTGCCACCTTAAGTGGGTTTAAAGTTCACGAATTTGCCACTCAACAAAGTGGGCTTAAACGTACATTCATTGAATCATTCCAATTCAAGCAATAAGCCTTCATCCACAGGCACTCAAGCAGTTTAACAAGTAAGCATTTAGCGTCATGGCAAGCATGCTAGACATGGCAATCACTTACATTCATGCAGTGCTAAAAACTCACCTAGTACTCCAAGCCAAAAGAAAACAAAGTTAGAAAAAATGCATGATTCTAACTATACAAAATGTCTAATGCCACACATGCAAGATGCAACTAATAGGCTTGGCTGCTAATATGACATATGGATCAATTAAATTAAATAACATGAATTCTAAGCACGTATTCAAAGAAGTATTAAAACTGCATTGTCATTTTAATACTTCTTTGAATACTTCTTTGAATACGTGCTTAGAATTCATGTTATGTTTGTTTTCACCCGAAAAGACCTTTGTGGCATACTTCTTTGAATACATGCGCATGCTCAGTTATACACTGGTGAATATTGTCGGCCACCTACCGACCATGGAAGTAGCCTGCTGGCTATGGATGGAAGTCTGCCGGCTACCTGCCAGCCATGGAAAGTGGCCTGTCAGCCACTGATCCATTGGTTCATCTTGGTGCAACATAGAATAAACAAAGCATATACAGGGTATTTTCAAGGATTGTTTGCACAACTTACCCCTCCTTTTCATGAGCAAATCCAAGGAAAGGTGAACTTAAGCCACAAACCACCAATTCAAGCAATTTCATTGCATGATGGCTTGTGATTCAAGATGTGCAAGTTCAATAAATGCAAAATGAGACACAAACCTCCTCACTTTCATGAAAGATCAAAGGAAGAAGTAGACCTTGGAGAGTTGGATCATTTCATCACTAGCAAGTATGAAATGGTCCAAGTTCCATGTGTTCAATTAACGTCTGATTGAACACAACCAATCATTATCTTGCTTATTTTTAGTCCCAAGTTTTAGTTATTCATTTTAACTAACCAACCATCCTTTAATCCAATTAAGTCCAAAGGTGAATTAAAGTCCTCTAATGGAAAGAGGACTCAAAACACAAGTTGCTTTAGGTATGAAAGAAGTATCATACCGTTGGTAATGAATCCCCTAAGGGATTAAACCATTAAGTATGAAACCTCAATTTCACACTTAGGTAAACAAGTGACTTGAAACCACTTTCAAAACAAAAGTAAAAGCCAAGAAATGAGGGAGGCTGCAAATATGGTTAGTGCTGAAATTAAGTGAGAAAAGCACTAAAAACATGCAATTAACTCAAACAAGTGTGTCTAAAGACCTAAAACACCAAGCTTGTGAGGACTATTACACTAGAAGTATGAAAAACAAGACTGAAATGACTTAACTAATCCAAAACAGAGTAAAAACAGTCTAAATCAGAAGCTAAAACATGGTGGAATTAAGCTGGAACAAGCTAGAAAAATAAGGTAACGCAAAGCACCAACTAGGCTAGCAAACAAGACAAAAGGAGGGGAGGCTAACCCCTCCAAATTTGGACTTCAAAACATGATTTTCATCACTAAAAAAGCTCTGAAATTCAGTGTTTAAAGCCCCAAAAAAAGATGGTTTGAAAGTGGGAAACAAAGGTGAAAAGGCCTTACCAACAGGGAATAAATAAGGGTGAACCACCTCCTAACCTTAAATGGCCTAAACCAACAATTTCTGCCCACAAAAATCGAGTTTTTTTATAGCCCCAAAACAACCCAAAATAGTTGGAAAAGGTAGAAAAACAAATATGCGAAGCAAGCTAATAAAGCAAGTATTATACCTCTTGAAGAGAAGAGTAACTCTAAGCAACAATTCAAGCCAAAACCAACTTCAAGAGCACCAAGAAGGCCTAAAGGAACCTCAGCTCAAAGGTGAGAGGATTTGGTTAAGGAAGTATAAGCAAGAGTGTAGTGTAAGTAGGCAAAAGTGTAGAGAATTTGTAGGGAGAGGAAAATTTTTAAGTCTAAAATTTCCTAACCTCCAAACATGAGAGAGGGGGTCCTTATATATAGAAAACATGAAATTTCTACAAGGAGATCCAGCCCTCCACGTGTGGACAGATGCATGCATCTGTGCAAATAGTTAGCACAACTGGCATAAAATATCTATAGAAAATACTGGTGGTCAGCCGGCCATCATTGGTGGCCGACAAGCCACATTAGTGACCGACAAACCAAAAGTGATGGCCGACAGCCTCTAGGGATGGCCATAGGCCACCAGAGGTTGTAGGCTGAAAAGACCAAGGCATGGTCCAAAAATGGGACAAAAAGGATAGAGGATGAGAAAGGCTTAAAGTTATGGCATTCTGCTGAGGACTTCGAGCGCTTGGTGAGCAAACAGACTCATCATCAGGTGTACCTACAAAGATGCCCAAGTCATAAGGGCCATAAAAAATGGGGTGTCTATAGTTGGCCCTCTTTGACAGAACTCGGAGTCATGAAATGACGTAAGTAAATGTCAAAACCCAGAGACGACCTATTTTGACAAGGCCATAAGACTTGGACAAACAATCAAGACAAAAATAAATAGTTGCGTCCGTAGGCTGCCTACATATCCCTTTGTAAGGAATCAAACCAGCGTAGTTCTGGGGCAAAACGCAAATGCTATGCAAAATGCAAGAACATAACTTATGATAATGCAATGAGGCTGTGCAATGAAACATTTGAATGCAAATGCAATGCAAGAAAATGCCACAGTTAAACAAACTAAAACAAGGCACCACAATTCCAATCATGTAAAGAAGTAAGTAAATAAATACGCCACACGTGGGAATCACAAGCCAAACCATATTTCATGCAGAAAGGATGTAAGAAAATTATGCAAGCTTAAGTACGTGTCGAGCAGGAAAGGCGAAGAACGACATAACCGTTGGGCACACCTGAGGTCTCAACCGAGATCCTAACGCATTGCACGTGTGAAGAGGAAAGGGTGGTGTGAAAACCGGGCGCACCTGTAGACCGCCTTGAGAACTCCGCTCTCCGCGCTGCGCCGCGAGGGCACGAATCGCTTTGTTCTTAGCTACTACAGTTCGGACTCGTGTCACGGTTCTGAATCTAATCTCACAAAGTTGTAGACATCCCCGAACGCCCCGGGAGGATGAACCCCCGTTCTGTTCATTTTGTGGGTCTACTACAGTTCGGACTCGATTTGTCACGGTTCTTAATCTAAACCAAAGAGTCCAAATCTGGCAAATCGTTTTGAGAAAATAGATTTTTGAAAGAAGTGCCAAACATGGACTGCTTTGCTAGATACAGAGTCGCCACCTAAATATTTTATTTTGGGGGAATTTAGGAAACCCTGACTCGGTGCCAAAGGCCACGTGTCCGTCATCACCAAAGTTGCCTCGGCTCGAGAACTTGGGTACAATTGGGAAAGGTAAGCTATGAGCACTCCCGCTCGCCCGATCAAAGATCGGCCACTGCTAACCATGATATCCGGTTTTGAAAACGTTATGTGTTCTTAAACCGGTTATTAGCCTAGAATTACAATGTTATGTGCACAGCAAACAAGTATAGACTAAATCGCCTAAATTGGAACAAAACATTTCATGCTTGTTTTGAAAATGGTTGCTACTCCCAAGTAGGCTAAAATGCAGATTTTGCCACCCTCAAGTGGGCTTTAGAAAAGATGGTTTTGCCACTATCTAGTGGTCTTAAAACTCACAGTTTTAGTGCATTATTCCAATTTAGGTAATTCAACCTCCATCCGCAGGCACTCAAGCAGTTATATCACATAAGCAACTAGCCTCATGGTAAGCATGTCGTTATGGAAACACTCACACACATGTGGTATGCTAAAGCATAAATGCTTGCCGAGTACTCCAAGTCAAAATAGAAAACTAGTTAGCAAACATGCATGATCCTAGTTCATGTTAGAATGGCTAATGCAACACATGCAGAGATGCAATCTAGACAGGCTCGGCTATCCTAAACATGGCATGTGAAATGCTGCAACTAACAAGTACTCAACTTGGAATTTGAAATACAAGTGCAGTTAGCATGATGTGCCGAGCCCGGTGCATGCAATACTGATGAATGATGCACGCATGCATGGCATAAGGTATGCTAAAGTAAACATGTCCAAATACTAACCATCAACGCAGGTAAGTAAAAGGGAGAAAGAATTGGGGGTTGGAGGACATGCACACATGCACCTACGCACCCACACTTATTACAAATTTGCCCTCGCTCGGAGGGACCGAATAAATATTACACAACCGAATGAATAACTAACTACTTAATTAATTATTTCAGAATTCCTATTTTATTAACAAATTAAATGCAGAATTAAAATAGCCACAGCCCCGTCTTCAAAATGTTTGGATGATGCATGCTCGACTCGTCTCGCCCGGAAACTCGCTGCCATAGCACTGTTGCCTCTGTTTACACTGCCCTGCCCCTCTGAAGACTGCCAAAGCCCAAGGGTATGCTCTCTGCAAGCTGTAGAACACCATCGGCTAGTAGGGATGACCACCGGCCATGGGAAGTGACCATCAGCTACCTTTCGTTCTATCGGCCACAGATTA